TGTACAAAGAGAGAGAGACAGGACTGGTGCACACACAGACAGACAGGTTTGTAATTATATCTTTGCGGGGACTCTCCATTCATTTCTAGGCGGAAAACTGTAGTCCCAACATGACAAACTTAACCTTAAGTAACCAAACTTGCATACGATAAACTTTTGCCATTTTTAGTTTTTGGTTGCATTCACAGCTTGTCAAAATAACAGGTTTTTATTACATTGTGGGGAACATTTGGTATATACACATAATCCATCCACACACACACACACACACACACACACACACACACACACACCACTCTGAAAACTTGTGCTGCACTGGGGTGTGTCTGAGTGACAGTGCAGGTCTAATATACATGGTTCCCATTTGTACATTACTAGGAATTTCCTGAAATCAGAGTACCTGAGATTATAGGTTTCTGTGTAACAGGGATAGAGGAACACGCCTAAGCCAGACAAACCCAAGAGCGTTCCAGAGGCCCCCCCAGCATGCAATAAAGTTATGGTGCGCCAAGCCTGAGGCGATGCCAGTAGGGGGCGCCGTTCCACCTCCAGCCAGCTCCCCACGTTTGAAATCCTGGGCCGCAGTGCAGGCAGCCCGTCCCTCTTAGCCGGGAAGCGTAAGCCTGTAGCGTGACCAGGCCATATCCTCCAAAACACCTGCAGGCCGACCGCAAAGGATGATGTCAGAGCTCAGGAAGGCTCGGCTGAGCCCAGATTGCTCAGCGGCTGCGGGCCGTCTGCGGTCACGCCACGCAATCGCCACACACGATCACATCTATATGTAAATATCAGGAGGAATCCCACATTCCTGTACGCCAATCCGGAGGATACGACTGAATAGGAGAACAAGGGCACAATTAACAGTCCGTTTCCTAAAGCAACGTCTCAGTTTTTAGCAAGCCGCCCCCAGAGCCACCAAGCAATAATTAACCTTCGGCAGGATGACCGAGCAAGTCTCAGACCAACGGGAGATGGTGTAGTGATACTAAGGTCATCAGTGTTGGCTTGTTTCATTAACTACGAGACCATCTCAGAAGACCAAAGGGAGGGAACAAGCAAGATTTACTTGCCAACACACAATATGTCAAATACAACACATAGGGAATACTTCCCACATCCCCATTTAATTAGGAGCAGATTTTTACTTTTTTTTTTTTTTGAGACGTGGGAAGTGGTCAGCCCAGGGAGACTGAGATGGTCCAGACTTGCATGGGTCCACTCAGGAATAGAGGGACCCTGGCAGACAAAGGCACTCATTTTCTGAAGACTAAATAGGAGTCAGGAGAGCAAGAAATAAAGGGGTGTTTTGAGAAGGGAGATGAGGGACTGCTGGCTACAGAAGCCAGCCAGGCCTGCATCTCAGAGATGCATGTAGAGCGAAATATGTTTTACATGTGAAGGATGTGTACGAAGCCAAGGGCCGCCACCACACTGACTAACATCAACCTGAATTGAATGGTCTCGTTTTGTTTGGGAGGTAGCCGCACTGTCAGAGGTAACTGGGAGAGGCATCTTAAAGGGGGGAGGTTATTTGAAGAAAGCAGTGCTTCATGAAATCATACCTCTTAGATTCATCTATAAAATGCCAGAGTTTTCCCTGACTAACGTCTCTGGTGTCAAAGGATGAATGCTGAAGGAGATGGGAATAGGATATTTTATTTGAGGATGGGGGGTGGGGGGGTTGTGTGGCATCACATCTGGCTCGTGGTCTGGTTTTGGCCCCTCCCCTGGGGATGCACCACTGTCGACTCTCGGCCCTTTGTAAGCAGGCGGCCTCCCTGTGGCTGGAAAGGAGACCACCCCCCCACCCCCCCAAACACCATGCTCTGGTGGGGGCCAAACCCGTCTGCTGTGCACATTTTCCCCAGTGTTTTTTTCTTTTTAAATTGGACACTAAGTACAGGCCACCCCTCTGGCCGAGGTGAGCTGCACACCCACTGGAAGGAAACTCATTTCCTCTCCACACCGTCAAACAGCTGTGCCTGTATTCCTGATTCCCAATCGGGAAGCGGGATGATTTACATCCCTGCTGGGAAAAAATAGGGAAAATGACTGGATGTGCACAATACTTAATCCCGATTACAATGCAATTCCATGTTGGGACACGGGACTACCCTGAGACACACGGAAGGACACAAAGATGCAAACATTTCCTTGGATCCGGTTAGGGCACATTTCCGTTCTGTACAAAAAGTCTTACGCCTGCATCCTTCTCTCCCACCCCCACAAGCATCAAATGTGTGTCATACTTCCCAGAACCAGACAAGCAACTGACAGACACCCCCCCCCCCCAAATACAGCACTGACCATCACAGAACGAAGCCAGGCCTAACCACCCTTAGATTGGGACTGGATTCTCTCATGAGAAATGCCAAAGGAAAGAAGATTATTTCTGCATTAAATTGCAATAATCCCAACAGCCAGCGCAGCCCATATAAGAAGCGTAGTGCTGTGTCTGTTCTTGGGGACTCGTGGTACCATACAGACAACCAAAGTGGAGGCAAAATTAAAGTACAGCAAACAAGAATTCAGGCTGCACCCAACCTTCAGCTTCCGCAAGTGCATTTTTAAAGACCTACAGAATTACAAATTTATCTTAACAGGCTCTTACTTACAAGATACATAGACTATGAATGATGTCTATATAAAATGATCTATTTGATCTCCAAACTTCAGTTTTCACATGAAAAATCTTTTCAATTACTAAAAAAAATGTACAATTAAAATGATCTACGGCATAAAAATAACTGATCTAAATGTCACGACGTATGCAGCACCGTCACAAACAGCACCGATGGAACATGCCACAGGTAAAGCTTAAGGCGAAATTGGGTCTCAGCGGGTTGTATGGAAACATTCTTACTTGGGGGAAATGGTTTTATCAGCCTGGGAAAACTGGTTCAACTCTCACCAGGTATGTTCTTTTAACGCAGGATTTCTCCTGATGATATAACCAGTCCCAAACCAAGGCCCATATATTTAACTCTTCGCAAACCCTCATGATCACAACTGCATACGATAAACAGACATCGATATCTGTACTCACACAGAAGACAGACAAAAGAATAACCAGAAAAATACAGCATTTCTGACAATTCTTTTTTGTTTTTTTTTTATATTACAAGAAAATCTGTTCTTTCGCAGATTGCTTTTATTTGCATGGTTTTTTTTTGCATGAAAGACAATGTGTCAAGTCATTTCCACACAGCTTTATAAACCACAAATTCAGAAATAGATTAAAAACCAAAAGGCTTTTGCAAACAGCTAAAGCTGAAAAATGAAGTATTTCCACAAGATGCCTGCTTGTATTTTGCATTTGCTCATCAGTTAAAAATTATAATCACAGGGGAAAAGGATAAGGGAACAAAAATATAATAATAATAATAATAATAATAATAATAATAATATGTAATGCACAATATGTTCAGGCAGCAAACTGACAAGAAATCACTTCATCATATTTATTTTTAGTGGACATCAGAGTATCCAGACAGAGAGAGTGAGAGAGAGAGACGCTGCCGGAGGTTAGTTGTGGGTATTCCCAATACACTTTAGCCTGAAGAGACGCTTCTTCCACAAAATTTCAGCATTACATAACAGGAAACTGCACCCACCGGCCGTTTTGGGGGATGGGGAAGCAGTATAATTTTGATCTTTCTCCATGATTACAAAGCGTCACGGTGTCTATCACGGTGTCTCTCCATGATCGGCACAGAGCATCTTTTGTGCGCCCGCCACGCACCGACAAAACACGTCTCGGTTATCACTCGCCAAGATAAGCGGGGGCAAAGCCCCCTTTAAGGGAAATTCCTTTTTTACTCAAAGTAGTTTTCTATGCTAGAGACTTCCGTCACGATATCAAACGTTATGCATCCCCTCGTCCTCTTAGCTGCAGAATTCCTATGAATTATTTTGTGATCAGAAAGCAGACAATTTTTCCAAAAAGAACTCAGCTCAGTAATTAAAAAGTTAACATTACACAAGTGTTAATTATCCTCAAATGAGTGGGGGATTACTGTAGCTTAAATTTAATATGTAAACATTCAGGAAACTAAGACATTTATTGAAAAGAAATCATATATATATAACAAATTACACGAAAAACACGCTCCAAATACAGCCTCCCTGGAACAGAATACCCTTCCTATTGCCCAGGATGCACCACTTAACTCCCAAGTACGTTCACATTTGTACAGTAATCGCGATCAAATATTTCATACACGTCGTTCGAATCGCGCACATGGAGAAACCATCGCCGCCCAAGTTCACGGAGTGTCTACCACAAACAGCCTGTGGTGTCAGAAGTTTGCCACAATTTGAAAGCAAACCGGGTCTGCATAGTCAATAAAATTATAGTCCAAACGAAATTTGAAAGCTTCCAAATTATTTGTGGTTACGCAGCATAAAATATTAAAAAAAAACTTCCGAAAAAAGTTAGACTCCTATTAAGACTTGACTGCGCCATTCACCACCGAGGCGGAGCGACGTCCCAAATCCCCTCCGCGACTAACATACCACCTTCTCCCCGGAATACCAACAGCAAAGTGGGTTCCCCACGAATAAGTCTTAATTATAGCTTTGTTTAAGTGCATTTAAACATTAACTTTGTTGATGCGACGCGAATCGATATTAAAGTAAATAATTTATTTGAAAAATCTGTCCCCGATCTGCGCCAAGAGCCTCGAAAAGCCTTTAACATCAGTTTTATTTAATGCAGATCAATTTTATTGTCCAGAGACGAGCAGGAAAAAAATTAACCCAAGTAAGATGCAACATACTGTTACTTAAGAGTAAAAATTGAGAAATTAACTACATTAAAGTACCCAGGCGACCTCTAAAACCAGCGAAGTGGGCAATAACTAAGGAATTACCCAACGCGATTAGATTGCTTGTTAAGCAACAAATCTACCTCGTCTAAGTAATTCATTTAGCAAAGACGGATGGCTCACAGAAGACAGCGGGACACCCGGGATACAAAATGGTTTTTAAAAAGTACTTACTGATCTCCATACTTTGGAACGAAGTCGAGCGTTTGCAGTTGCATGTACAGGATACATTGGTCTGGATGGCCGCAGTGCCGTTTTTTAGACCCATTAAGTTAAACATTTAAATGTGAAACTACAAAAGGAAAGAAGGAAAAACAAAGCCCAAACGATAGACCCAGATTCTCCGGTTTTCTTTCCTTCTCGTAGAGGCTGAGATCTAACAGAAACATGAAACGCCGTTTTCTTTCTTCGGTGCGAGTCTGCCGGCGGCAGTCGGGGGGTTTATCGCGGGTCTCAGTTGCCTTGGTCCCCCCCCACCCCGGGCCGGTGCCTGGCCTCCGTACTCCAGTATCCCCGATGTTTGTTAATAGACAGCTTGTGCTACTTTGTATCCGTCTGTCTGACGGTCTTCGTGCTCGCCTCATTCAAGTCCAAGTCGGCTCGCATCTTCTGCGGGGCAGGGCTTCCAGGCAGACAGGATTACGTCAATGCCAGACTTGGACTGTAGAGATTGACAGGCCCACCAGCCAATCGGAGCACGAAGCACTCTCTCCAGCGCTCTCTTTTGATGTAGAACATGGCGAGGAGCTCGCCCACAGCGACTCGCACAGCACTGATACTCGCTTAACTCTACACCATACCTGAAAGTTCATGACCTCCGCGCGTGATCGTAATATTTCACTACTAAAACTGTCTACTTTTATATTATACACACATTTTATTATATGCACGCATCTCATAAATAGATATATGTACAGACATCATGTGTGCATACAGCAAAAAAGAACTGTATACATATACTGTACAAATCACCAAAAATCTTAAAATATTCAATATCAAGTATTGAAAAATACCTGAAATAGTTTTAATTCATGAATGCTAACATTTTACATACATACACAACTAGGTTAATTTTCAGCCCAATTACGCACAATATCATTTACAAATGCATTATGTAACAGTATTATCTTGCTGGAAACAAAGGTGGTTTCACCTGATTAGGTCACCCACGGTTAAGACTTAGACAAACCCTGTTCCGGTAGTAACTTTAATTAGGATTAACCCAGTCCTACAAAAGTTTAGGCCAATTGTTACATACATCAGAATGAAAATACCTTTATTATAGCTAGGAAATTGTTTCAGTTTGCTCAAATCCGGAATCCTCTAATCCAGACATACATTTATGTCGCCTTACAAACATGTACGTAATATATTGCATACTCATCTTAGTAACAGTTGCATAGTGATGTATAAAAATTTGGCCCACTATCAGACCATATGCTTTTAGTGGCGCCCCCTAATGGATAATGAATTAACTGCAACACCAGGCCAAAAGAAAAATCTCTCTCTTGCTTGCTTTGTAGTCTTAGTCATTACCGGATTGTACAGGCAGGGGTAAAAGCAGTACAGGATTGTCCCTCAGCCATACAAAAGACAATGTATCGGTTATAGGGCAACCACATAATATCCCCCTCTATTACCATATTTGTAATGTAATAAGCGCTGTTGTTTTGTCTACCCCATAGTTCTGGAAAACATTGCACAATTCTGATTCAAAGCCAGTTATTCCTTCCACAGAAAACATTTCTATTATTATTATTTTTTTAATCATTGCTATCTGCTTTGTTTTCATGGGGATCATTAAAGGAAAAAAAAAACACAAAAAATGCACTGAAGTAAGTGAGTAAGTAGACAAACAAACAAATAAATAGAGAAGCCAAAAGATGCTCCAACTTTTAAAAACAACTGTGCTTCCTCTCTACAAACCTGAATGTTATATAAAGACTCAGCAACTTAATGTATGAGGTCGGCTCACAGACATCGACCCCCGATGGCCGTTTTCGAAACTTCCTACAGACCATGTCCTGACCTGATTTCTTTTTTGCCTTCTGTGGTCCCTTCGTCTTCTTCTCTCCACTGGCTTCTCTTCCACATCCCATTTTTGCACATTCTCTGACTAAGACCTCTACCTCTACAGTACAATAATCAGCCTTGTAGAATATGCAGGTACCAGAGTTACAAAAGAGTTATAACAATGTCGCTGCACATATTCGGCCATTTATACCTTTCCGTAGGTACATTCAGTGGCTCATTCTTGCCATTTATTGGCTGTTAGGATTCTGTGCTCCCCAACACAGCCTCGGACACACGCGTCACATGTCACCTTTCTTACATGTTGTGTTTCGCGTGGACTTCAGCTACTCTGTATATTTTCATTTTGTGGTGGTAACAAATAAGGAAGTGTGACAGGGACCAGCACAAGTGGCGACCAGGCACTGAGAGCGCGGCGTACAGTACCTCAGCACTCTGCTGCAGGCATGAGGTAACGTCTGGATCTGACGCCAAACTGCAGAGTGAGTCTAGCACACCCTGCAAGAATAATAACACATTGCTCCCTGTTCAGCTGGCCGCCCCCACCCCGCGTGCGACTCCTCTCCTTACTTTGATCAAGGAAAAAAAAGAACATTTTACGCTATAATTTTTGGCTCAGCACATTTCCCTTTTCCCCCTAACTCTAGTCCCCTGGTTTTTTTTTGTACTGTGACATTGTGGATGTGAGTCTGTATGCATCTCAGTGTGTATGCGACTCAGTGTGGATGTGAGTCTGTATGTACCTCAGCGTGTATGCGACTCAGTGTGGATGTGAGTCTGTATGTACCTCAGTGTGTATGCGACTCAGTGTGGATGTGAGTCTGCGCGTACCTCAGTGTGTATGCGACTCAGTGTGGATGTGAGTCTGTATGTACCTCAGTGTGTATGCGACTCAGTGTGGATGTGACTCTGAGGGTATAATTCAGTATGTACGTGCTTCAGTGTGAATGTGTCTCTGTGCATGCACCTCAGTGTGTGTGTGACTCTGTGTGGGTGCCTCAGTTTGTGTGTGACCTAGTGCAGATGTGACTCTGTGCGTCTACCCCATTGTGGATGTGAGTCTGTGTGGGTACCTCAGTGGAATGTGACTCAATGTGAATGTGACTCTCTGCGCATATACCTCAATGTGTATGTGCCTCAGTATGCAGGTACCTCAGTGTGTGTGACCAAGTGTGAATGTGACTCTGTGTGTGTACCTCAGTGTGTGTGTGACCAAGTGTGAATGTGACTTTGTGTGTGTACCTCAGTGTGTGTGTGACCAAGTGTGGATGTGACTCTGTGTGTGTACCTCAGTGTGTGTGTGACCAAGTGTGGATGTGACTCTGTGTGTGTACCTCAGTGTGTCTATGCCTCAGTGTGAATGTGACTCTGTGTGTGTACCTCAGTGTGTGTGTGACCAAGTGTGAATGTGACTCTGTGTGTGTACCTCAGTGTGTCTATGCCTCAGTGTGGATGTGACTCTGTGCGTGTACCTCAGTGTGTCTATGCCTCAGCGTAAATGTGATTCTGTACATGTACCTCATTGTGGATGTGACTCTGTGTGTGTACCTCAGTGTGTATGTGTCTCAGTGTGATTGTGACTCTGAGTTTGAGTTTGCCTGTGATTGAGCATGCACCTCAGTGAGTATGTGACTCCATATTGATGATATTCATACCTGATGATACCTGCTGCTCAAACTCCACATGAGCTCATGTAAAATACTGTAGTGAGTCGTGCTATTTTTCAACCCTTTAGACAGGTTTGCATTGCCTGTGGTAGTGATGGTAATTTTAGTTGGTGCTGAACAAGCAGACAATGGGATATTTCAAGACTGTAGTCCAAGCGCAGCAAACACAATGATACCTCCGGAGGGAAGGACAAGAGACTGAAGTTAATAGAAATTTAACAATTTCATGAAGATGAAAGTTAAACTGAATGTCCTTAATGCAACAAATGAACATGGAGTAGGAAAAACACAGAGGAACCGGCCACTTCACCTAAAGTATATTAAAAAGAGCAAATTCTGCAACTTTTGTGAAGGTTTGCAAAGTCTTATGTGAAACACCCTCAGAGGGTCCTTAAAAATAGCAAGACGTGCAACAAAAAGCTAAAACATTTCTGTGGAAACCTGTAATGTAACATAATGGGAATAGCCACTCCTTAGACACAATAAAAATGGAATATTAACCCACCCCCACACACATAAAAGACTTTCTCTTTAATCCCTGGCAACATCACAACTAAGGATAATAAAGTCCAAACTGCCAGCAATATCTTCTCTGCCTTGTGATAGTTTAACAAGAAGGGGGAGTCTTCATAATCTGGTTCTGGCATGACAGCCTGATCTCTTCTGAACTTCAAGCTGTCTTCTCTTTAAGGTTTATACAGCCGGATCTTCCAGGCAAAATCTCCTGCCACTTTCTTTCTTGCCACCCAAACGGAGAGGTCCTCAGATGAACCATCTCCTTGCCCCTCTGCCTAAATTTTTGAAGGTAACTACTAAGTTTTATAAACATCACACTTCATCAAATTAATCCTCATGTTCCCCTGCAGGGCATAACAAACTGTATGTAAATAAAATAAAAATTCCCATGACGCTCAGATCATGCACTGTATATTAAACAAGCCATCTATTTACCCATCCATCATCGATCCAATCATCTGTCTGTCCATCCATCCATCCATCCATCCATGTCCATCCATCCTTCCATCTGTTCATCCAACCATCCATCCATCCATTCATCCATCTTACAGTTTCTTATACAGTACAGGGTCTTGAGGCCCCTATCCCAAGGAGCATAGAGCACAATGTAAGCGACCACAATTGCAACAAGGTAACTCATTTAGACTAGATATGATACAAAAAATATTTCTTCTCTCAAAGAAATTGGAAAGCAATAATGCTTTTGTACTGTCTGTGAGTTTAATTTCCCAAACACAGTTTCAAAACAGTTCACCTAAGAAGGTGCAGTATATATCTCAGCTGTGGTTTAGCTACAGCACTTAGTAAACACTGCCTTTACTCCTGAAGATATTTTGAGTAACAGGCAGTTAAGAAATGGTATGATCCTTTGTCTCATCCCGACATGGAACGTAACAATCAGTTCAGTAAATATATGTAACTTCGGAGCACAGTGTAGGGCAGGGGTGGGGAACCTGATCCATGGAGAGCTGGTGCAGGTTTTTGGGATGGCCTCTCAGTCAGCCAGTAATTAAGCAGTGGCTCTCAACTCCAGTCGTGGGGACCCACTGTTATTGGCTGATTGAGAGATCATCCCAAAAACCCGCATCGGCTCTCCATGAATCAGGTTCCCACCCCTGGTCTAGAGGTCTGAAGAGCGATGGTGAATCTGGGGTTGCCTTTGGAGACCAAGTGCAGTGGTGCTGCAGGATGGAAACATATCTGAGCAGCATCACCATGACATTCTTATATCTTCTGACAGAGTGAGACGGTGCTGCTGGATGAGACTCTGGACCCCCATCAGCCAGATAGCAACACCTACAACCGCTCTCTGCTACACTTGCCACCAGAAGTTGAGCTACATCCTCTAGTGTCCCATGGAGATACATATTGGATTATGAAGACCTTGAACTATATATAAAATATGTAGCAGAAATTAAAGGCC